AATTAACATTTAACATCAGTTATTTCCTAAGCCATATATTTCTTGTTTTATCCAGTCTGGTAATTGATTTACTGTCTTATCTTCTAGCAGAAAAAGTCCTAAAACATACGAAAATACACTCAAACCAAGCAGAGTAAAGAAAGTGCTATAAAAGGCATCATTTAGCTAATTTAATCTGCAGAACCAAAGCATTGGAAGCAGAGGTTTTCTTACACTCCCCATTTTTTGGTTGCTGGCTGCCTGGCTTATGAGTACCAAAAAACCTGAAAAACTAACAAATACAGAAAGGAAGTCTTGATGCTTTTGAAAATTCCTAAAAATATTTGTCAGAATGTGATGAGCTTATGACACGCCTAATTAAACTCTAATTAGACACTGAATTGTTTATTCACTCATAGGACAGCAACGTAAAAAGTGTAGTATAACCAACTCATCTCAAAATGACAAATAAACCCAACTTCTCACTCAAACTGTTGGCAGCTACAATCAGAAAAACAGAAGCATTAAAGGCACATGCAAAATAAATTAGAAACATTAACAATGCTCTGAACAACATAAGCTAAAGACAAATTTGAGGAACAGCTTTCTGTTGAGAGTAGAACAATGAAAGAAGAAAACAAAACCAAGTTCCATACAAAACCAGAACACAAACCAAACCTGAAATGGGTCAATGCAGTCAGACGACCCTTGAGGCAGAATATATATAATAGCCATTAGGAACAGTGTGGACATTGCACTTGGACATTTCCTATCTTGTACGCTGAAAAAGAAATGTTGGTATATATGCTTCATCATGCTTCTTTTAGAATAGATGGACTTTACACACCAGTTACTTAAGGGCTTGAAATAAATGTAACTAGTACATTTTATGTAGACAAATATATCCCAGGTGCACACAGGAAATTAGAAGCAACTGAGCACTGGTATATTTATTGCAGATAGGGCTGAATTCCCTTCTGTAAGAAGTCTGTCATGCAATCTATCCTTGATTATCTGCAAAGAAAAGTTACCATCAGGAAACTTTGCATATATTTTTGATAAAAAAGTGCAAGGATCAATAATCATCTGCCAGATTTTTCTCCTATTGAATGCTTTCATTCCCCAACATTCATCAGGAACTCCAACCCTTGAAAAGAGGACTGGTGGTAGAAGACCAAGATGAAAGCATAATTGTATCAGCCTTGGGATTTTTGGGAGTCTACCTGCCACACCTGAGCAGACATTCCTAAAGATAAGAGACTGCATTAATCTCTGGCTTTTATTCAGAAGTATACAGGTAGCTGGAGAAAGTGTACATCTACCATGCCTGTAATATGGGAGATACAGGCACAGCAGAAAGTGTTATATGACAATTGGTATTTGTCTCTGTGACTCCTGGACATTCAAGAAAAAACACTTTGGAAATTTCCAGGGGATGAAGGTAAGTTTCAGGAAGAGTAATAATAATAAAAAAAAATCATCAGCATACCAGTCAAGAAAAAATTACAGACACAAATTTGAGCAGACCGCTACTGAAATTCAGTAGTGAATTTAAAGGGTTTTTTCTGATCCTATTTTTTCACATTTTGTCTTTCTCAAAATAAACATGCAAAACTGCTTAAGATGTACTTTCATCCTCTCTGAAACTATTTCCTCCTTGAGATTTTATCTCAGTAGAAGTATGCTTACTGTCTGAAAGAGTAAAAGATTAAGCAACACACAAGTCCAGGAGGGAAGAGAGGACCCCAGCCTATTTATAAAGTTGGAAATAGATGCCACTAAAATGAAAGCTAAACAATGCTAGTGATAAAAAGAGTCAAAACAGTTTTGTTTTACTGGCTGCTGATTTAGGGAGAAAAGTGCTCACCCAGAGGCAAATGATTCTCATGTTATTATTAACCAAAGCACCATAACAAGCAAATACACACAAATATTTGAGTAGCAAATAAAAATCACTTAAGAAACAAACTGGAGCAGCATAGAAGGAAAATACAAATATAGAAGTAAGAGACAGCTGGTGTTTAGAATTAAATATACTAAACAGTGTTTCAAGAAGTTGTAAGTTACCTTCAGAAGCAAATCCATAGCTTTGTTTACAAAGGAATTGTTTCCTACCCTACCCACCCTCGAGTACAGAGGTGACCCACAAATGTAAAGCTGGAGATACAAACGCAGTGCAAAGTACTTGTCCAAATAATGGCCAACTAAATAGGTGGAGAAACAGCAAAGTAATTTTTTAAGAGCTAAACTGACCAGTGAGGACAAAATGGTGTTTTAGAAAATCCACTAAATGTGGATTGAGTACTGTGTGTACTCAACATTGAACTTGGATTCCACTGCTTTCAAGTAGGAAAAAAAGCTTCCCCATGGCAGTAAAAATCAGTAGATGACATGTCTGAAGAGACAGACAGTTCCAGGATTAAGGTTAAAACCCTCCCCCCCCCGCCAAACCCCAAACACCTTTGGGTGTAAATAGTGTATTTCACCAATAATTTCAATTTTTTTTAGCAATGTTGCTCAAATGCTTGAGAAGTAGCATCTTATAAAGACAAATATCCAGAAGCACAGAACTGGTCACAAGTGAGAGGTGGCTCTTAAGTGGCTCATGTTACACTGGATTTTCGAAGTCTTAACTATGGCACCTGACAGAAGCATAATATACTTGGCTTGTATGTATCTGTCTCAAAATCTGACACAAAAAAAATACAGCACATAAAAGCAAAACCATTTATAGCCTATAACTTAACATGTAAATCAGGTTCCTTGTCATTCAGGTGTCCATGAGATTAGTTTCCTCTTTGCTACAGAAAAAGCCTGACTATGTTCACATATTTCTGTACAAATCACATAGCGCTGCTATGATGATCTGAAAAAAACCCTATAGCAGTACCAAAAGATCCAATACATTTCAGCTTCAAAATAAGTTAAACCATCAGTTACGCTGCAATAAATGAAAAGTGCTTTTCTGTTAAGTAGAAAATGAAAGAGAAAACAATAAAAGTTATGGTATTTCTTTTTCTTCTCTATAACATACTAAAAACATTAGCTTAATTTCTTGGAAATTGTGGGATGGATGAGCCTAGTTATTGGCATTATAAACAAACACAACTTTTAGTATGAAAATAAAATTACTATTGCTAAAAAAACCACCCCAAAATTTCTCAGGAAATGGAAGAATAGTGAAAGAAACTTTGCTTGACCCAAAAGAATAGATTCTTATCTCTGCTACAAATATAAATGTTTGTTCTCTATCAGTTTCTTACTGGTTCTTTACCAGTTCAGTAGACCATTGCTGCTTTCTCCCATCTACCTTCTTGCTATTTCCAAGTCCCTTCACTCTTGCTTGGACACAGAAAGGCACAAGCACATCCTTAGGACTGAGGAGACTTGTCTTTTTACTCTCTTGTCATCAAAATATTAAGAAAAGTTAGCACATACACAAAAACATTTTCACTGTTAACACTGTCAGGTATCGGACCAGGCTGCCAAGAGAGACTGAATAATCTCTTTCCTTGGAAGATTTCATGATCTGATGGAACAAAGCCCTGGGCAACTCCATCTGAATTCAGTGTTGGGCCTGTTTTCTGCAGGAATTTCTACCAGATGACTTCCTAAGGTCCTATCTGAATTATTCTATGAATGCGCAGCCTTAGCTCCTTCAGAAAAGTCTCTCTACATCTCCCTGGAACAGCAGAGAAGCAGTTGTGTTGGCTACAATTCCTGTATGACAACAGCCAGTATTCTCCTGTCATTTAATTTTTCTTCACAATTGCCTTTCTACTGCCACCTATTATTTCTTAAATCCTGTAAGCTCTTTGGAGTTCCCTTTTGTTCTGCATTTGGATGTCTAGCACTTGGAGTCCTGGGTTTATGGGTAAGGCTTCCAGAAAACACAGCAATAGAAATAAAATCAAAACTATGTCCAACCAAGAAAATGACTGAATATCAGACTCAGGTTTGAGGACTACTTAAAAAGAAAGATACACTTAAGTGACAATACACTTCTTACTTTCTTAGTAGTTAGGAAAAACAGATGGAAAGACTAAAACCTAAGGCAACTGACCAAATAGATAAGGCAGGTCTATATCTCCTCCCCCTATTATTGTATTATACTCACGAATGAATACTGCTTGTAGGAGAACATTGAAGGAAAAACAAAACAAAACAAAAAACTGTTCAGGTTTTAAAAGACTGACTAGATTTATACTGCTGAGAGGAAGGAAAGGAATCTTCTCAAATCACCATTCTTCAGACAGTATATTTGATAAGAGAAACAACCATCAGATTTTACTAGAAACAGAAGGGAAAAATATTTTTCCTAAACTGCCTACCTATTTAATGCAGATATACTCTTAGCTGCTAGTTATTCTTTGCCAAGACAAACACAGGCATAACTCACATACTACTTCTCAAAATAGCTTGAGCCATACCTTTAACCTGACATATCAAGATGCAAAAAGCAGCCAAAGCTGTCTGCATTACTTTCCAGTTACCTACTTCTCACTGGCAAACTCTTCTTTTTAGTATTTTTCTCCCATGATAAGTCTGTTTGTAGTTCTGCAGGTAAGTCATGAACATTTGTCTTTTGTGGTAACAAACACTACAGAACCAAAGGAGCAGGATTTGGGAGAGGCAGAAATATGGCACAAGAAGAAATAATTTTATTGGCTTATACATCAAAGAAGCTGAAGTTCAAAGTGGTGAAGTTAAAAAAAACAAACCAAAACATAAACCAAAAGCCAACAACCTTCCAGTTAATTCTCATTCACTGCATTGGATTATTCATCAAAATTAATAATATGGCATAGGCTCCAACACTGTGCACTAGCTGACAAGCAAATCAGAACATCTGATGAATGTGTTAAACTCCCGTGCTTGGAAGTGACAACATAAATGCCAGTAACTAAGGTTTGGTGGGTATTTTCTTCCTGCCTAAATTTTAAAGAGGAAAAAAAAAACCAAACACCTTGGGCAGGAGAAACATGCAATCTGACCAACTATCCCCCCTCTAGATCACTTACTAGGTCACTTCGAGGTGCTTCCTGATAGTCTGCTGAAAAGCAGGACATTGAACTTCTTGTGCCATTGGTCTCACTGGCTTGCCGTGGAGGCTGTGCATATTGCCTGTATGTAGCACTCTTCGGGGTCCAGCGAAACAGGTTGATTGACTCACGAACACAACGCTCAATATCAATCTCTGATCAGGGATTTAAAGAAGAAACAAGAAATGCAGGCATGAAAAATAAGTAAAGTCAATTAACCTAGCTATGACATTCCTAAATATACACATATCCATCTATACCGCTGTCTCTCCCTGCCTTAAAGGGTATGTAGTTTTCAAAAACATTTTCCCATTTAAAAAAACACTTAGAATTTTTTAATGAAAAAAAGACAAAGGAAAGACATTTTAAGCATTAATTTTAATCCCTAGTTATGTATAGAAATCTGTTTAAGAGAAGTGTAGCAGAACTTTAACCAATGCAACGACAGGAACATAACCGAAGCCTACTCATTGTAAGGCACCTTCATTAAGTGTCTTTGCAAGTCAGACTATTGACTGTTAAATGTAAGTACATGGTAGTACATCAAAAATACATTTCATGCAGTGTATGGACATCAGGATTTTTTGATTAGCTGAGTGTCTTATTTGTCAGTTAAATACTGCTACAAGCCAGACAAAGCTTTCAGTTGTTGAACTTTGTGTGGCCTGCTGGTGTAAAACAGGAGTTCTCAACACTAAGTGTCATGTATGACAAAATATTACTCAATTTTGGAGGAAAGCAGACACCCGCCAAGTGGGAAACATCCCAAAATAAGCTGTGGTCAAATAAAAATTACCAAAGCATAATGAAAACCACATGCAAAAGAAAAAAAAGTTAACTTGTTACAAGTATCATTTTTTCTACACTAAGCATTCTCCATGCATCTATTTTTTAACAAGATGTAACATAAAAACCATTTACTTTTCTATCACTCTAAAAAGACTAGTTATCTTTTAAAAAAGCCTATAGTTTAGCACCATAAAAAGGTTAGTTTTGCACCTCCTGTTGGCAGTCTCATGAAGAGAAAAATTACCCTAGCTTGCATTTTATAACAAACCTAGTGTAGTGCATCAGACAAACAATGGGTATATTAGCACTTCTAAAGTTATGAAAAAGCTGAAAGCAGAAATTGAGATTGTCAGAGTTAAGCACTGAGACAGACTATCAAAATATTTTTCCTAGAAACAAGTTCTGTAATTTGAAAAGGAATCCACTGAGAGAACTGGAAAATGCAGTAATGGGTTTCCCTAAAAATGATGACCAGTTCTCACATGCCAGGGTGTAAGTAAAAAATTTAGGAGTCTGTTGTTCTGTGATTCTTGGCTGTTTGGTTTCTCATGTCTTCTAAGCAGCATTTCAGGAGGACAGTGTCTATACTTGAAAATAAAATTCCATGGAATAAGAGGGAATTTTAAATGGTTTGAGAGGGAAGCCATCAAAATCCTAACACCAATTTACAGCCTACTGATTAATTGATCTGCTTCTAAGTAACGCAAAACAAAAATATAACAAGACAACTGTGGTGTCCAGAAATAATAATAATAATAATTATATGTATACACATAGTCACATCGTATGCATATATATGGAATGGTCATTTATCACCCACAAGGGAGACAAGACTATTGGTAGTGAAAGAATTTACTTGCATTTTTTTTTTTTAAAAACAATTAGTTCCATGAGTTTAAGACTACATTAAACTGGTGTAAATATTTACAGAATATTTATTAGCCACATTGCATGAACAGGCTTCACACTTGAGTAACCTTCAAGCCTGTCTTCACCCTTTGTTTGAAATTTTGGCTTAAGAAAAATCACTTCCTGTCAGTAACGAAAATGCAATGCAATCTTTTGCAGCCTTGTTGGATAAGATCTTTTCTACTCTTTTTGGTTAATAAGGCAGGGTCTGCTGTGCTACTTAAATTCCAATTTCTTCCCATGCCCTTTCAAATATATGACAAATGATTCAGTCTCCGATTTGATGTCCACCTTCCGTTATTGCACCGAGACTTTGCATTCACACAGTATTAGTCCTGTTTGTACTCCCAAGTACAAATTCCCTGCTCCCAAGTAACTGTGTTACAAGCAAGAAAACATTAAAGCTTACACATTATTAAACACATACTGTTGGTACATAAGAAGTGTAAATATATCCAGTCAGTGCCTAGATTCTTGAGCAGGACTATGAACAAACAAACAGAGAGTACCTCACCAGGATGCCAGACTACTTGACACGTTCAAACATGAACTGCTCTCTTCTGAGAGCAGGCTCTGCACAAACCTCAAGGCATCAGCAAGAAGTGAACAGAAACACTTAGAAACAACAGAGAGGGCCTGATCACTCATGCAGACGTTTCATATAAGATCTTCATGCTCTCCAAGGTCCCAACACTGGGCTATTAAGTAGTTTAAAAAGCATGTACCTTTTTTTTTTTTTTTATTCATATGGTATCATTAACTGTGAAGTCTGCACTGAAAAAAATTAAGCCTAACTTAAACCATAATATAAATTATATACAAATAAGATCTCATTTAAAAATTTAGTACATCTTCAAGCAGTCTGGTTTTCAAAAAGTGCAGAGCACCTCCATTACAAAAAGCCAAAGTTGACACTCAAGTACCTAGGAACTAGAAATCACAAGTTTCGTTTTAAAATATTTGTTTTAGGAGTTCTGGCTCAACTGAGCTCAAGTATTTCACAGTCAAGCAGCAATCAAGACTTGCAGGAAACCATTGTAATTGGCACCAGCCAATTACTCCATTACTTGGCATCAAAAGATTTTTCCTGAGATTTCTAAATAGGCAAATAATATGGGAATTGAAAGAGGTGGAGGTTCGGAAGTAAACAAAAAGTGATCTAACTAATATTCTGGCTTTACTATGGCCCCACCCTAATATTAAGCCTATTGAAATGTTTTGCTCCTTTTCAGAATTAAACTTCCTGCTTGCTCTAAGGTATTAACCATTTTGCTCTGTTTATGTGAAGTTATCACTCCCTACCAAGATGCTACCTCCCTCTGTCAAGTCTCTGAAAAGGACAGCTCAGCCTGTCATAGCTGCTTTTAAAGCTACATATATTTAGTGTTTATTATTATAGATACAGGAGAGAAGTAGACTGCACTTGAAATATGTTAAAAAGAAAGCATCACGATAAAGGCAAAACACCTGTGACAAAAGCACACAGACTTTTTTATTTTTACAGCAAAACCGGATGTGCACACATTGTTCACACCAAAAGAAAGAAAGTAATGGAGAAAAACATAACACAAATGGTTCTCTCTTAATGAAAATGTACACAGACCAAGTCTTTGTGTGCATTTAATAAATTCCAGAGCCTTTTCCTTGGGTAACAGGACACCAGTTAAGAAATTCAGCCAAAATAAACTGCTTCTGCATTTTGGCAACTGCCCAGAATTATGGGCTTGGTTTGACCTCTCCATCACAAATACTTTATTACTACCCTACCAGGCAACATCAGCTTTCACCGTGCAGCCACATAAATAGGCCAGAAAACCTCTCTGTGTTATAAAAGCAGGGAAGCTGAACAGGTCAGTCAGTTGGATCTCATGATTACTGCTCTCAGAAGAAACAGAGGTGAAAGGCCATAAACCTTTTCTTTTCTGATGACATACAAAAAGATACACTAAGCTTGGATATTTAAAAGGACAAATCTAGAAAGAGAAGTGACATTTTTAGCCAACATCTCTGTATCTATTACTGCTAGAAGGTTTCTATAAATGAAAAGGTCAATGCAAAATTATTTCTTTAATTATGTGTATCTCTATTAACAACACTGGATATACACACCCCCAAAATATATTTACAATCAGAGATGTGCTGCTAATGTACATTTTAATCACATAATTTTAACACTGCAGTATTTGTGCAGCTCATTTTAAAATCCTCCTCAATTAACAATTAGAGAACTAAAGATTATTGGGAAGACCATTTATACCTGTGCAGGCAAGCACACACATTCAGCATAGCAAAGATATAGACCGATACCCTATAAGGCACCTTGCTCTGTCAGCAATATTTTGCATAATTGTAAAAGGAGAAAAAAAATCTAGTGCACACTCTTGTTTTCTAAGCACTAGTCTAATCCTGAACAAGTTATGCTCATAACTTCAATGAAACACAAAAAAAAACCCTGAAGGAAATATTTTCCTGAGACACCTTTGTAAAGAGAAAAAATAATAATTTGCCACATCTAGAAGCAAAGCTCAGGCAAGAATGGCCTGAATTTTTGTTTTTTCATGTCTAAAAATGCTAGTATGTTCGATGGTCTACCTTCATGCAGTTTGATTTTACTCCAGGGTAAAGGTGTACAAAATCCTACATTACTAACAGGAGGATTATTCTATTCTCTGAGGTCCTCTTTTGCTATGAAAAGCACATACAGGTTCTACTAAGAAACAGAAGGCTCAAGCTGCACCTCAGACTGATTTTGAGACATGCATTAGGAAAGTTCTACTGAGGAATTAACTTTTCACCTTTTTTATAAAATACCATCTCTTGAGACAGACAGTCCTTCGCTAAAGGATATACATTTGATTTTCTTCCATCAGTGACAACTACAAACTAGCAAGAACACTAATATGAATAAAATAAAGGATTTTTGTATTTTTTTCCTTAGTGTGTCACCCACCACAGCATTTCTCTTTAGTGTCAAGAAGGTAGAATCTATAAATAAAACTGCATTTTGCTCATACCACTACAAGTGGAAAACATGAATAATTAAAGAATTCACAGCTTCAGGTAAAATGACATAAATCTTACAGAGTTTGACACCACCAAACAGCCTTGGTGAGCAGGTGTGCCCTAACAAATTGCTCTGCTTCTGTAACAAAGCCAGCTCCCAACCCACAGTTGGCTGTAAGCCATTAATAAACCTCCCCGCCGCCGCCCCCCTCCAAACCCCCACTTACCAGCAGCTATGCACAGTTCCTGCTTCATAAATGTTATTATTTAGCAACAATAATCTCCAGGAATTGCATTATAAAATACACCTGTTACTTGCATCTAAAAAAAAATCATCTAGGGATGAATATCTTCAGAAATAGATGCTGCTATAAATATGTCAGATCTACATCTTTCAAGAAAAGAAAACTAGAAACATGTTTTCCTTTTTGCTTCTGATGTCTTTTGATATTTC